CAAAGTGAACGTGTATCTGGATATCTGTTACCAGGTCTCTCTTTTTCTACTCTCCCCATACGCACAAAATATCTTATTATTAATTGTGTCCTACTACCGTGTTTAATATTTCTTCTTTGAACTTAAGGCATTTTCTGTACTTCCAACAAAACTGATTTAAACTGTTTAACTTGGTCTTAACCTACTAAACATTGATGTTTGTAATAACAAACATAAATATTTACTCCCAAAAAGCTACAGCTTCTTATAAACAGCTGTTTTTTTGTTTTAAATTTGTTCTACGTATTTCTTATGGGGAAAACCCGACCTTTGAGTGGGCCTCACGCTCTTAAGAGCAGGAATTTTAGAATTCTAAAACCTTATTGCAAAACTACATATTGAGACGAATCTTTTGACACCTCAAACGTTGAAATTGGTCCACAAATAAGGGAGGAGTTGCGTTAACAAAAAACGGCTTCACGTATTATATATATAAAATTCTCGTGTCACAGTGTTTGTCTGCAAACTCCTCCGGAACGACTTCACCGATCGTTATGAAATTTGGTGTGTAAATTCTGTAGGTATGCGAATCGGACGTAAACTATTTCCCGTTTCGAAATTCTTAAAAGGGCTCCGCCCCAGTGGCTCTGGAGTTTCCCATGTTAACCTTATGAGAAATGGAATTAATGAATCTTAACAGCTGTTTCAATTAAACAAGTTGGTTCTGTTCTATGATGTTCAATAGCATTAAAGTTACAAGGATTACCAACAGGGTGCAGCACTATTATTTCTTTTACATTTATGACAACAGCTAATTTGCAACCAAAAGGTGAGTGAGCGTAGCGAACGAACTTCAACCAGGACGTGATTGAGCGATGCGAACGAGATCATCTTGAAAATTAAACGTAACGGTACTTTCTTTCCATCGGTCTGTCTTAGGGGAAACCTATAACTTAGGCGATACGAAGTTCGCCGGGTCAGCTAGTTTATTAATAATATCATTATTAATGAATATTACTCGACAATTGCAATTTCACTAACATTGTTATTAGCTCGAACAGCACTGAACCAAGAACTAACCGTAACGCACATCACTGACCTTAATTAAGATTGCATTTAAAATATGTATGAACAACGGACAATATCAAGATGAGAAATTGACATTAGAGCTTGAGATTAGAAACAAGCAAGAAACGAGTGAGGGCGTATCGTATGTGCAGTGTACTCAGACTCGCAGTGTTGCCAACAAGTCACATCATACCAGATATCGCACAAGTTGTATAATAAATAGGCATAGCCTACATTAAATATATTTTATGAATAAAACTAAAATTATAGATTGCCCCTTTATTAAATAGTCTTTATTGATGGTTTACGACTATCCCGTAAAATATATTTCTTCACCAATAATGTTGTTAAATTTTATTTTTACTTGCCACGGCGCCTAGGGCGGCCCTGAATTCCATGTAACAAAACCGGGTGAACTTTGTTACTGTATGTTAACTTAAGCTTCTTAAGTATGTTGATCTATGATTTGATCTATAGTTCATGGGATAAAAGCCTATCAGTTGATATTTTAATTATTTTCCTTGCGTAACTTTCAGCTGAGCACTGAAAATTATAGGATTTTCTTTATCACTACAAGTTTCCATACATTTCTTTAAATGCAAACAATAGTTGGGACTTAAGTCAGAAAATTAAGCTTTGTTATACAAAAAAGGTGGATGGTAGCAGTAGGCCACCAACGTATGAATGTACTGGTAATAATGAATTTTTCCTTATTTGCAACTGATACTATTGAAATGTTTGATGTTCCGAATCTATTGACGAACTGTCACCACCAGAAGATGGAAAAAGTGTACAGAGAAAACAACCAACCGTAGGACCCAGGGGGCCACCCCAAGTTAGGTGCGACAAAAAAGTCAATCTCCATCATCATTTGATGTCTAGATTTATGATAATCCTTAATAGAAAAAGTCAAATCTCCAATTCAGACAAAGTTAAATTTACACTGCACCTCACAGAAACATAGGCTTAATCCCATTGCATTTTTTTCCTGACGCCCTTCAAGGAATGCTTGCTCAACCAAGAAAAAGATGCATTCAGCTCAAGAAAAGGAGGCATATGGCATTGTAGAACACATTTCTTGCCAATGTTTGTATTTTTATCACTTTCTAAGGACTATCAATCGTGGAACTAGTTGCTAGTATTAATATTTATCTGTGGCTGAAACTACCGCAACACAGCGCAGCACTAAGAATTGAGTGGTGTCTGGTCATATTAACAGATTGGTTCTCCTTCTTTCGATAAGTCCTCATTCACCATGCCAACCAGTGCTCGGAGAAACTCAGCGGGCCGAACACGGTTGTGGAAATCTAAGGGGCAAAGTTTATACGAAGAAGAAGCCGTGAACACAGGTAGGGTAGAGGGCCAGTGGGTCTTCGGCGTTGTGGAACATGAATCCAGGAAGTCGATCTTGATGCCTGTGGATACGCGCAATGCTAATACCTTCCTTTAAATTATTAGGTAGTGGGTTTTACCCGGAACCACTAGGCCTCAAATAGTGATTGCTGAAAAGTCTAAAATTGTTTGGAACATAAGGGATATCAGCATCTAACGGTCAACCATTCCTTGCACTTCAAGGATCCTAACACCGGCGTCCACACTAACACTGTGGAATGTAGCTGGCAATATGAAAGATCTACCATTCCACGGTACGGTGTAAGGAAGGTCCATTTCACTGGTTATTTGGCTGAATACCAATTCAAGCGCAAATACCCTGATGAAAGAGAACGACTTCACGTGTTTCTTATGGCAGCGGCAGCCCTCTATCCTCCCATCTACTAGTAGGTACGGTATCCATGCACCTCATCTGTGAGTGCTTAGGCCTAACCCAAGTTCTTATTTAGCCACCAGGTGTATTTTATTGTAGCCTAACTACAATTACACATAGTCCTTATTTAGGCATGTGCGGATGATAGATCGTTCTTTAAACAAACTCGGGACTCTAAATAAGTTAAGTGTTTTCAGGTAGGTATAGTTAGATTAGGAAAGTAAAGTTTATGTTGATGATGAACCAAGTTGTTAGTTTATGTTTTCTCCAGACTATCTTTGTTCAATTAAAACACTGGGTAAGACACTGCAAGTGCAAAATAATGTTTCAAAAACGCATGCCTAAGTGTCTAGGCCTATTTGAAAAATTACTGAGAACCAATCTTTTGTTTTTGCAAATGAAAGGCCTAAGTTAACATTCCGTTGGGCGCATTGATTTTCAAACACCAAAGGGCGCTCAGGGAAGTTACCTCCTGGAGTACAAAAACTATCCGTGAGTAAAAAACATTTTAATAGCAATAAAACTGTAAGAAAAACATTTTTTATGAGTTATTACACTATTACTTAAGTTGTATATCAAAGACTTAGGTTACTTTTTGTATAGGCCTATATACAGTAGGCTACTGTCGTATATTAGAAGAAAGTTTTAAAAGTGTATGACATATAAATAAACATATGATCTAATGAATATAATCATTTGTTACAAGGACAACTCATTCGATCAAAGCTCCTAGACAAAAGTTGCACCAATGCAACATAAAACCACCTATGGTATTTATTATAAATGCATAAGGAGAACTTACTTTGCCAAAGCTTTTAGAAAAAATTGCAATAATGTTTGAAATAAAACACCTAAGTCATTGTATAATGGAAAAAATCATTTGTTAGAAGGACTGGGCCCTAATCATTTGGTCAAAGCTCTTTTTCTTGAAAAAAGTACCCGAATTAACACACCATTAGGTATTTCCATTAAATGTTGTTCCCTATCCTCCCTTTCAACACTAGCCAACAATCTCACAATTCTTCTTGATCCATTTTATAATACCGCTAAATAAGGTCAAACACAAGGAACTAGGCTCCGGGAAACCCGTTACATCACAGGGCACTCTCGGAAGCTACTTCCAGTAGTGATGTTCTCGAACCACTTCCTAAGGTTGACTGACAACTGGGAAAGGGGTAAGAGTAGACAAAACCGATTCCGCAAAAGATATGCGTTTGGTAAATCAGGCGACAGCCCTGCCGAACACATACTATGGCTTTTATAACAAAAAAAAGTAGTGACCTGGAGGTAACTTCCGTTATGCGCCCGATTGAAGGTTAAGTTAGGTACCGTGGTTGGGTATTTTATTTATTAACTTATTAAAGTTATTTATTAACTAGACATCTTATTTTTCATTCCTAGAAGTGAACAAACTACAAGTTAAACACCATTCAGATAGTAACTTAAGTAAGTTTAGGTGGGGTAGAGCTCTGCAAATAACCTCTGATAAGTTTTAAGTTTAATATTTATTAGATACATAAGTTAAATCGTAACCTACCGTTTAAGTAGTTACTTGCAATATAGCCCACAAATCACATTATATTCAATGCCATAAGTTATGATCAAGTTATTTAATCCTTAGATCTAGGATATCTTTTAAGAAGGCTCTTTCCAACTTTTCTGCACCAGTAAGGTTGTGTTTGTTTGGTTATGTTTTTGTAAATTAACTTTTATCTTAATAACTTAACTCTCAACTAAGTTTAGGCCTTTCAGTAAAAATGGACTGCACTTAAGTATCTGTCATACACTCATTAGAATGAATATATTGATCAATATAGGCCTATCGATTATTTGATTAGGGCCTCGAAGTATTTCATTCGAGTTAGGCCTAGTTAGTTAAAAGGTTAGGTTCGATATATCAAAAATTTCATTAGTCGGATACTAATGTGCAGCTTAAAAATGGGCTAGGCTATGTTAGACCCCTTAAAATGTACCAAGTTAGCCTAATAGGCTAAGCAGAAACTAAAAATGCACTGGTAAGTAATTATTTAAGTTATGTTTCTTTAAAACATTAAGTTACTGGGCATAGACATATCAAGTCAAACGTAACTAATTCAAACGACGGATCTTGTTTGTTAATAACTTAGAATGTTATTTACAATAACAAAATAAGGCTAGGCCTAGTCAGATTTTAGGTTATGTTACTTACCAGCAATTCATCCATACTCGTATTCCATTTTTCGAGATTTATCCTTTTGATGGCACATTTCTCTTGTCTAGGCTTGCAAAAAGCACCGTGCACTACAGCAGTTGCACCAACACCTTTAACAAATAAAATCTTGAATGGATAAGGTTAACTAGGGTATCCTATTTTTATCATAACGTTAGCATATCACCGGTAGGCATAGTCCGCACTTTACATGACATAACAGTGGTTGTTTAGTAACTTTGCGAGTTATTTTTTTGAAATATTGAAAATTAATGTTGAAAATAAGTTAATTAAAATTTACTAACCGATCACTTCTTTTAATTCATAGTCATCTTTTTGATTTGGCCAAGTCTGAAGTGTAGTGGCCGATGCGGTGGCCGCCATCTTGTTTTCTGAAGAGTCGTCTGCACCTGCGCTCGATCTCGCGATGATTGTGGCATGGGGGGAAATTTCTGTTGACGACTTCCGCCTAAATATCCCTGGCGATCCAGGAGGCATAAGGCCGGGAGATATTTTCCTGAAACAAAATGTATTTTTCAAAGTTAATAAATTAAATGTAAAAATACCCCTGCCGCAGCAAACTTGCAGACATCAGACATTATGGTGAAATATACTATAAACAGTCAGACCTCTCAAGCAATGATAAATGCTATACTTTTTTTTATTACTACCTACCTAACCTACTGATTTTTTGAATGGGTTCATGCATGGGTGTATCTTAATTTGAAAATCGACAAACACTATGGGACATTGTTCTAATGACGAACAAGAAAATTTAAATTGCTAATGTATCTTATAGCTTTGGCATTACAATAGAAAAATGTTTTATGCATTAGTAGTCCTATAACAAAGTGTCGTTATTTAGCGATATGGTGTTTAATCATGGGGTTTGGTTAACAAGTCATTACAAATTCAATAACATATTTCATGTAAAATTGTTTGGAGCTGGGTTCAGCTGACCTTGTCATAATTTGGGTTTTCATTAATATGGACCTGTCTAAATAACAGCTGATCTTAGCCAGTAACAAAAGCTTCACAGGTTTCCTCAATGAATCCTACACTTAACATGTTTTTATATTCAGCTTAAAATACGCATATACATACAACAGGTGTGCATTATTGTCTATAAAGTGAGGAATAACGAATTAAGTCAATATCTTTAGGGGTAAAAACATAGCTACATTAGGGGTAAAAACAATCACGTTGAAAACTTTAGGAACTACTTATTTCGTATAGTAGCAAAACATCACATAACAAAAAACAATAAATATATTATAGCCATCAACAGAGTATGTCACCTTAATATGGGTTAAGAACATATAAAACTCACTTTTGTTGTCGAAAAACGCGTTTAAACGGACCGAACCACCCACAACGTTTCTCCATAACAAATTAGCAAAGACTAAATGAATTCTGAAATACAACCATCTCGAGTCTAGCTCACCCTATGATGTCACGGGGTTGAAACTTAGGTATGTGTGAAAGTACAAACCAGACGCATACCAGAATATGGACGCAGCTCGAATTTATAGAGGACACTCTGCAGTCTATAGAACACTTACTCATAAAATACAACGTTTTTCAAGATAAAATTCTTGAATAATTTCACTGAAATACAAAATACTATTCTAAATAGTCAAACTTGTAAACAGATATGATACGGTTATTATTGACCACTAACTTCCACGAGATAAGTTATTTTAACTGATTGAAATCCATTGATAATTCCTCAAAATTGTAAATGATTTTTAATCACAATAATGACATAACTTGATGTTTTCCATTGTTGGTTGTCATATTGTTTTTGTTGATTGATAGTACGACAACGTTGTTGTTTGTATAAGTCAACATGTATCTGTATGTTATCATGTTCATGTACGACAACAAAAGTCTGTTGTGTGTCGACGTCTTGCTATCTTTGTATGCATACATATAAAAATGTAAAACGGAGTTGTCCGCAAATAAATAAATGATACAATATTAGCGAAACCTGTCGTGAAATAATAAGCAAAAGAACTATTGTACGAGAAAATTTGATTATGTAATCATGGCATTTTTCGTCAGACAAGTTAATAATTCATTCAAAAAAATGTAGGTAGATGTTTTGTGCAGTGAAGTATTGCTTTTTGGAGATAACGATTTTGCACATTATATTCCCTTGATAATATATTTTAATTGTAAACTTTATACAGTATTGTTAGTGGTTTGTGTTTGTTTTTACGATGTGGCAAACTAGTTCAAGAAAATATTACAAATTTTACAATGTGTTGCTTATTCCAATAACATACCTACTCTTTTTGCATTTATCTAAATGTTAACTAAGATTTCACTAAAATGACTTGCGGGAAATTGTTTGTTTTGTTATTTTAGCTGTTTTTTTTTTTTTTTTTTTTTTTTAAAAAAAAGCTGCTCTTATATGTAGATTTGAGATAATTTGAGGTTGCATGTTTATTAATATCACGTTCAAAACTACATCATAAAAGTGAAATGTCGTAAAAATCACGAGCTCGTCGATGAGCCATCAGCTAAAAGAATGCTACATTTTTTACAACAAGATAATTTACCCACACAAGTTTACTATCGGACTATAGACTCTCGTTTTGGTGTCAACCTAAACTCTGCCCCGACCTTTCAAGGTTTCGAGGAGAAACATCTGGAAGCAAATACTGACTATGGTCTCCATGGCAACAAATATGACAATCCACTCTTCATTCAATTTAACAGTCTTTAACGAAATCTACAGTTATATTGGACCGATTTTATTAATTATTAATTGGTCATTGGAAATCTCACTCTATGTAGATTTTCAAATAATTAATTATAAAAGTTGGTTTTTGTTTGGATTTTTGGTAAAAAAAAACATTAAAAACATGTTTTCCATAAGAAATACACTAAATACCCCCGCCGCAGCAAACCTGCAGACTAAGCGAATTTCCATTTGCCTGATTGGATTTACACTAAAACGTCTCCTTAAAAATATCACATTCCTTATTTAAATAGAATCAGTTTAACACATACTTAGGTTTGCTGCAACAGGGAGGGTAAAAGTGTTTTTTATGTAAAATGTTAATAGTTAGTAAGAAATAAAAACATTTTCCAAATTTGGGCAAAATATGTTAATAAACAAGCAAACTACAACAGTTTACTTATTCTCCATAAGAATAACATGGGAATTTTAAATTTACAATTTTTTGGAATTTTCTCCGTAACGATTAGGTGCATTATAACGCTTCAATATACTACATTATTTGTTTTTTTAAGCTCTACAAAATAGTTTGGAAAGAAATTGCAAAATTTTATGTATTTTGAGTCAAAAATGGGAAAAACCCATTTTTACCCCATAAAACCCCCCATAAACCCCCGATCCCATGGTCCGATCATGCTGGTTCGCGAACTTGTTCGAATAAACGTAGGTTTACACGTTTGTACCGAATTTCATCAAAATCGGATCGTTTTTGCTCGAGTTATCGCGCTAACGGACACATATATAAATATATATATATATATATATATATATGAATTTGAACGGATGGTGTTTTTGGCCTCTAGGGACCTCAAAACGAAAAAAAATCGGTCCCGGGTCCAGGTCTTACCATGAGTACTACGGTAATAGCTTATTCCCTATATGGGAAATTCGCTAAAACGGGGTTTTTGAATTTTTTTTTTGTTGGAGGCAACTTTTGGCTACCTTTATTGAGTATTTTCATAAAATGTGAAGAAGTAATATAGACATTTCCTTTCACCTTTCACTTTGGTCGATTTCCTCACCATTTAAAAGTTAGTAAAGCAACCTCCGATATAGTGGAAAAGAAATAATGGATTAACTTTTTTTTACTTTTTACAACTATAAATCCACAGTTCTACTGAATCGACTTTGTTAATTAGTGTGTCTTTGGAAATCTTAATTCACGTAGATTTACAAATAATTATGAATGTTCGATTTTTTTAGATTAATGGTAAGTAGGCCTAATATGGGTTTGCCGGTATGCATCATCATGGAACATGTGTTAATAATTTATCAGCTGATTGTTGTATTGTAATTTCCTTGATTATTCTTTTTACATCTTTTAAATAAAGCACACTATTATACAGTATAGTGTTTTTATAGAGACCGTTGTATTTATTTAACCACAATAACGGGCTCTGTTGCTAGTCGAAAAATGTTTACACTTCCACTTTACGTTTGTTTGGTTTACATTCCGATTAAGCTGTTTGTATTTTACTACATAGCTGACTGAATTATACTACAGTATTTAAAGATCGTAAAACTAGTTGTGAGGTTAAGTTTTATCCGAAAAATCTACAGGTTGAACTGTTTTACTAAAGCACACCATTTAACCACAGACTATAGAGTAAACCAGTAAACTATAGAGTAAACCATTACAGTATTCTATAGTCAGCGATTTAACAGTTCTCCTGATTGGGAGTATGTTTTGTTATACATCGAGAATATTAAAACGGAACCGGTATGCATCACAAACATAAACAAATGACGTCACTGGCCCGAATGTCTGTATAATAGTTGTAACAGCTGGTTCGGACGTTTTTTAACAGTTCTATTTAAATATACATGATTGCTTTCGGGACCGTGACGTAATTTGATTGGCCCACAATTATACTCATCGTCACCCTCTCACCGTTGCGAAGTTCTGGTACACCAACTACTAGTTTATTTATAATGTACAATACTTTATAATGCACTATACTGTACAGGTTATACTACATATTTTACCAAAAGTGGCATTCAAGTGACCACTGAATCAGCTGTTGTTAAGCTCAAGGTCATAATACTCACTAACACATGATTGATAACACGTGCATAAAACTACTATTTTAACAGAGTTTAGCGACTTTCTTGGGATAGAGTACATTAAAAACACTGAAATCCGAGTATTGGATCTATATCCTTCGGATGTTTGCGATGGTCAGAGTCAGAGAAACCGGCTGTGGTTGTCCAAGGTTAGTAGAGAAAGTGTGATAGGTGATAATTGAAATCAAGATAAGAAACCAAGGATTTGTTATCCTGCTCCACACAGTTTAGACCATACTATTCTCTGTGTGACATCGGCGATGATTTTAAAATATAATTTTAGTTTAAAAGGGGTAAATTAAATTATTCCATCTAGCCTATGGACTTGTGATGGATCTTTATACAATAAACCGTTTGTCAAACTAATACATTTTTGCAGCTAGGTTTACAGATTTTGGAAAACTTTAGTCTTGAAAAATCAAATAGAGCTGTATCGAAAAACGACGCGAGATTTATTTTTGAGGTAATATGTAAATTTAAGGCAGAGTTTAAGCCGTTATTTTATGCTATAAACATAAAAAGGGTTTTTTATTTTGATACGTAAAGATAATTAATTTTTAAATGTTTGGTATTTTTAAACTGAATGTTGGTAAAAGTGCTAAAACACCGGGGTCCTTAATTATGAGTTTATTACTACTCGTCATTCGTCAGCTAACCCAAAGCTGTCCTTTGATCTATAAAGATTATATTTCTTGCTTTAAAAGGAT